ACCATTTAAGCTCTGTCCTGGGAGTTGAATGAAGAATTATGATGCCTCATGATGAAAGCCGAGATTCCCGAGAAGTCAGGAGACCAATGCCTCTCCTAACAGCCAGAACAACAATTAATATAGGTACACGGAATTTTCGAACAATGTGGGAGACCAAGAAGAGAAATACAACTTGTCCGTGCTCAGAATAATTGAAACTCATTAAACCAAAGCTGAAAAGAAAAGGAGAGATTCGGCAGAGATGATGTTATACTCTGGTCACGAAGAGAGAAACGCTCCACACACAGAAAGTTGCTCTGATGCTGTCCAAGTAAGAACAAAAGTACTCATAGGATGGGTATCTTACGGGTCCAGATTCATGGAAGCATTCTTCAAAACAAAGAGGAGGACCACAATAAATGTTATTCAGTGTTATGCACCCACTAATGATAGTGACGAAGATGATAAAGATAAGTGTTATGAGAGGCTGCAATCGACCGTAAAAAAGTGTCCAGGAAAGGACCTGACTATCCTGAATGGAGACCTAGACGTCAAAGCCGGAATGAACTACATCGGTTATGAAGATATCATGGGAAGACATGGACTGGGAGAACGGTGACAGATTAGCAAACTTATGTGCATTCAACGAAATGGCTATAGGTGGCACTATATTCCCCCACAAACGCATACACAAAGCTACATGGGTCTCACTGGACCTCACCACACAGAAGCAGATCGATCACATTTAAACCAATATAAAAATTCAGTAAATCCACGGAAGTGTTAGAAACAAAGAGAGGAGCTGATATAGATTCAGATCATTACCTGGTCATATCCAAGAAAAAACTAAAGCTAAAGAAACACTGGACAACTGGAGAAACAGCATTACAAAGGTTCAATACAGCCTTCTTTTGACATACTGACAAACTCAGCGAATTCAACATAGCTCTCAGCAACACGTTCCAAGACTTCCTAGATCTACTCGAAGAAGAAGCCTGAGAACGGAGTGAAGAACCGACGGCTTTAACATGTCAGAATGTGGTGGGCCGAAAGAAGCATTAGCATGAAATGTGAATCTCACTGACACCCTAGACAGGGTTCAAGTAAGGAGGAACAGGAAGACAGCAATTAACAAAAGCCGAACAATAGTAGAGAAAGCCAAGGCATAGGCCTGATACGCAGAAGCAAACAAGAGAGTGGAGAAGAGCATCAGAGCTGACAAGCAGAAATACGTGGAAAATCTGGCAGTAACTGCAGACATGATTCACGTCATATTCAGGAAGATTTAGGAGGAGGAACAAGTGCTTCAGATAGACTAAAAGTAGGATATCTCGTCTACATACCAAGGGAAGGAGATCTGAGCAAGTGTGGTAGCTACACATGCATCACACTACTATCGGTACCAGGAGAAGCTTTCAACAGTGTTGCTGAACCGGTTGCAAGACCCAGTAGCCCAACTTCGAGATCAACAGTTCGTTTTCCGTAAGGACTGGTCATGCACAGATCGAATCACGACACCACGGATGATCGTTGAGCAATCAATTGAATGGAATTCATCACTGCTCATCAACTTCCTTGACTATGAGAAAGCGTTTGAGTGTGGATTGCATGACCTTATGGAACCTTCTTCGACACTAGTGTGAGTTTCTGAGAACATCGTCAACAACATACAGAACTCATATGACGGACTACACTGTGAAGTCGTGCATGAAGGACAGCTGACAGATGCATTCCAAGGGAAGACCAGAGTCAGACAAGACTGCTTACTCTCCTTCTTTCTCTTTCTCCTAGTGGTCGACTGGATTATGAAGATCTCGACATCTGAGGGGAAGCACGGTATTCAATGGACTGGTTGGATGCAACTAGACGATTTGAACTTCATAGATGACCTAGTTATTCTACCCCATACATACGAACTAATGCAGTCCAAGAAAACCACTGTACCTAGTCAGCATCATCGGTGAACAAGGAGGTTCGGATGGAAACGTAAAGCCAAGGATCGCCAAAACAATGGCAGTATTTCTACACTTGAAGAAAATATGAGACTCAAAACAAGTGTCAACTGATATCGTAGTCAGAATCCTCAATTCGAACGTCTAGACAATTCCACTGTACGGAGCTGAAACTTGGAGAACTACCACAGTCAGTCATAATCGAGAACTACCACAACCATCATCAAAAACATACAAGTATTTATAAACTATTGTCTACTCAAGATACTCGATATTTGTTGGTCGGATACGATAAGCAACAGCCTACTTTGGAAGAGAACAAACCAGCTTCCGGATGAAGATGAAATTAGGAAAAGACACTGGAAGTGGAAGTGCAAAATTCATCTAACTGGATCACGAAGCAAGAAAGGTCAAAGAACACACTGAATCGAGAATTGGAAGCAGACATGAAAGGAGTGAATGGCAACTGGAAAGGATTGCCCAGGACAGATTGCGATGGAGAATGCTGGTGGGCGGTCTATACTCCTCCACAAGGGGTAGCAGGCGTAAGTAAGCAATTGCTAGCTTTTTTTCCTTAAATATTTGTTAGTCAGTAAAAACAATTTTGCACAAAACCAGTTTATTGATAGTTCTGATGACATTTCTACGTTTGAAAATAATAGGATGAAACTATACAATAAAATGCAAAAATTGTTTATGATGACCTAGCTTTTTGTTCCACAACTACATTTGTGGTGTGTGCTACTTATGTCGACATATATAAGTAGTATGTAGTAGCAATCGGCGGAATGCATGCCAGCAGAAGATTGAAGAGATTCAATTCAATAGAACAGAAGTTGCAATAACAAAGGAATTATGAAACATGTAAAGGACAACTAGTGGAAGATGTGCAAACTATGTATTTAATGTATGGTTTTCATATTTTACGAGATCACTCTGTAATTTTGCATTTACCAATAAATTGATTTTCCCCACCTGAGTTGGCATTCACAACACATAGATACCATATACAGAAAATTCAATGAATTATGTAAATAATTTCAGTAGTTTCCCTTAAGAACTAAGATCAATTAGTAGCAAAGTACTGTAAAATGAAAATTAGAAAGCAAAACTACACTCCCCAGCGCACCCGGTTAGGGTTCGTCGCGAGTTTCAACCCACCGAGGTGCAATGGTGAGCCCCCATCCGGGGTCAGAGCATTCCTGATCACCCTGAACCCGGCGCCAGGTAAGTTTCTGTTGTCTGTAATGATTTATGCCTCTTAAATCCGTAACTAATAATATGGTCGAGTCGCGTATTTGGTGTTGATTCTATGTCATAAAAAGTGCCTTGATTTTTGAGAATGAACACATAAGTTAATAAAGCTACAATATCATTGCTATTGTTTATGGGTTTTGAATTATTATTAGTATCGTGTACATGGTTTCTTATTGTTTGAAATGATGAATAGAATGGTATCGAAGTCGACCGATATCTGTTCACAAAATCCTTCAATATACTTGCTAGATAAATCCAGAGAATCTCATAAAAATTGAATGACAGTTAAAAATGGCCAGACAATCAAGATTGTATGCTTCTTTCTGTTTACAAAAGAATAGAATGGGACACCATTTTTCATAATAAAATTATAAGATCAGGTAAACATGGATAGAATGTACGTACAGTATGTTGTAGATTTGTTTGAGCAAGAAGGGTATGGTGGTTTCGAATGACGAGTGTTTGAGAGATTCTTCTAGTACGAAAAAAGACCCATGGGGATTGGATAGACGGAGAGACTAATATGAGACACTTCAACGATATTCCTTTGCGCAATTAAAAGAGAGTTCTTGTAAAGAAGATGTATTGGTTAAGACTCCAGAAGAATTAAATTATGTTCAATTTAAATTGAATGGTCGTCAAGTGGTCCAAATATTTTTACAAAAGTTTATTTAACTAAATAATCGTCAGATGATCATAGTCATAGTGAAATTATGAATATAGTGAGAAATGAATCAAAAATCAAACTAACTTCGTACTTAATAAATTAATACAAATGAAAATTCGCTTTAATCACCACAAGAATTTTAAAATTTGACATCATCCTAATGTTGTGTTTGGGAATTCAGCATCCTTAACACAATATGATCTGTTGTTCATACAATCATAATCGTAGGTTGTCGAATTTTCATTTTGGATGTCGATCAGTTTCTGATGTATTATGAACGCCAATAACGATGCCTTATTCCTGTACACTACCGACTACTGGTTGTAATAATAATTAATGAATATAAAATATTTTATTTTTTATTTGGCTTTAAAATGCTTGATGGGTAAATACTATTTCATTTCTATTTCTTAGAAAATCGTCCTTATATTGCTAATTGTTTATCATCAATATACTGATAACGAACTTGGAACTTCTAAAATCAGTAACTACTAAGTAAACTGTCAGTAAATTTAGATGGAACAAATTAATTATACATTGCACCAAATACACGATGACAAAATTACGTTATATTATGTCTTGGTCGTGATCGATGGAATAACCACTGTTTGTTTTGGTGATTGGCATTTTTGATCTTAACTGTTTATTAAATAACTGACCACTAATTCATATTTATACCGCTCAAGATAGCAAAAATGCCTAGCTGAAGAGTGGCAACTAGCATGAAACCTAAGTCCACAGTTTACCGACAATCGTCTCCAACCGCCTAACGTAAATTTTATTTTAATCAGTGAAATATCGCAAGGTCTTATCTGACTTTTGAAAAATAAAAAAAACAAATTATTTCATAAAAGGTGACATTTCATAGTGCGTGGGATGCGAGGACACTCGAGAAAAACTGTCAATTTAACAGATTTGTTACTACGCAAAAAATATTAACAACCAAATTATACAAGTGCTTCTAAACAAATGAAATAAAACTCGAAAAATTAACAAAGTGGAAATCTTTGTTACAAACAGTGAGACAAATAATTTAATATGGAGGATATAAGACTATCTTTCATTTCTTGCGTGATTTCAATTGATGACCTGTACCACTGAAAGGTTTGAATATAGGTTCTTCTATTTTCTGTAAAAACAGGTAAATATATATATATATATATATATTATAGAAAATGTCAAACAATAGTTAAGTAAATAGTAATATGAATCCCAACAAAATTTCTTGTCCCATTCAACTATTCACAACTTGAAATGAATAGGAAATAAAATTACTGATTAACCCTTAGAAAATATTAATGCAGTTCGGTAACCAAGTATAAACTCACTTAACCGGCTATTGAAACATATCTTCTGAATGAGAATCAATGGATAGAGTTATTATCCGGATGGTGGCTAAAGAGAAATGAGTGGAGATGGGTCCAAATCTGCTAATTATTTAGTGATTTGAATATACGAGCTTAAATCACTGAGTTGCTCTTCTATGTTTCTAAATATAACTACGTGTGGGACCAATCACATAAGGAAGCGAGTAAATATTTGCAGTTGAAGGATGATAATAATTTGCTATTGTATACAATACTTGAAAACTATCCAGTTTATCTACAAAGTCTACTTTACAATTGTTCTTTCTTTGATAAAAGGAACCTGAGTATTGAATATGGACAGATACTGTTAAAACATCAATAGCAAAAAATAGTTGGTTAAAAGTGAAAAAAACAAGCTGCGTGTTGCCTACATGTCAACAAAATCTAAAAATTCTACGCAGGTGTATGTGCTTTAGTCTGTCAGCTACAACGTAGGACCAGGCACATATATGCATCGGTCCAAGTTGCCACACCTTATTAGTACAACAAGATCAACACCAAATTTATAGTGGTTACTTCAATGGTAGTAATACATAAAAAAGATTGTGTATGAGAATATAATACAGGAAGAAAGAACTAATTGGTAGAAAGAATGGTATAAAGTAATTTTAATTTCACGGTTTAAGAGAAGACAAAAAGTGTATACACACACGCCATTGTGATCGATTCTCATCCATTTCACACAGACTCTAACCATTGGTTATGATAGTTGCGTGGATTCCAACCAAGTAGTCTGCATCTACCAACATGGCTCAGACCAGAAGTTATTAACTTTAAGCATGTTTTTGATTGGCCGCCCCTAGCTTTCTTCTAACCATCCCTAACACTAATCAGCATTGCACTTCGTAGTGATCGATGTTCAGACAAGAACGTTATTCCCATAATAAGGTCTATGATGAAATTGAACAGAAAAAGAGTGGGCAGCCTTAACAGACACCACTTGGGGTCGCAAAAGCAGAGACAGTTCGTCATAAGCTCTGACTCGACTGGTGGTGTTCGAGTAAAGAGCCTTCACAAGGATTATGTACTTCTGAGGTACGCCTTTCAATGGCAGACACTGCCACAGAATCTCGCGGTCCACGGAGTCAAATGCTGCTTTTAAGTCAAGAAAGACCACCATCGTCGGACGCCAATAAGTATGCTTGTTTTATAGAGTATGACGAATGGAGAATATGTGGTCGAGGCAGCCACGACGAGGTCTGAAGCCAGCATGATTCTCTCGTGTTTGCAGTTCGCGAGTCTTAGTTAAGCGTCTGATAATTATCGAGGCTAGTATTTTAGATGCTAGGTTAGTCAAACTAACCCCTCTATGGTTATCACAGGATAATTTTGAACCTTTCTTATATATTGGGACAATCAGTGATTGTGACCAGTCAGTCATATGGGGTTACGTCCAACTCCCAGATCTTAGCTAACATATTAGTTAGCCTAATCGCTAAAACTGGACCACCATCCTTAAAGACCTTTGGGGCCAATCCATTTGGACCAGCTGCTTTTCCACGTTTCAGATTAGCTATAGCTTTTTGAACTTTAATTAGAATCGGGAGGCCTACTTCAATGCTTCATTCAGGCTGTTTGGGAATGGAATGTAGTTGTAGAGTAGCTGAAGGCCAGCTCACCTGTTCTTTAAAGTGTTCCGCACATCGTTTTAAACGTCTGGACTGAGAGCAGATAAAAGTGTCGTCTTTTTCTGTGATTGTTTCGCTTACACCTGAATTCTTAGAAGACTTAGTTTTGTTAACCAAAAAAGGATAATAAATAAAGGCGTCTGTTTTAACCATAGATAAATGAAATAGAATGATCAATAGAATCCACAATATGGAAATTCAAGTCTTCTATTTTCACAATTCCAAATGTTAGAGTAAGCAATGATTGAAAAGATTTAAACATTCAGCAAGTAAGTACAAGTTTAAGTACTCAGATTTAATTTACAGTTACTTGTATGAAGACTAGTGATACTATTTGGTCGTCTAAACCATTGCAACGTAAAATGATACACTAACTACTCTGTCTCAAACCAGTTATAAATCATCCTCAGTGAAGAAAATTTAAGTTAATGGACAGTGTCAACGTCGAAATTTCCGCCGCCTTTGATAAACTAAATGTAACCGTGGTATGATACATATTAAATGAACTGGCAACGGAATTTCAGCTTACAGCATAACATAGTATTATAAAAAATATTAGATAAAATAAACCTACCTCTGCAGTAATTTGTTTTAGATTTCGGAAAAATGTTAAACTTCCAGGTCGATAATTATAGTTTGGTACACCCCTGTGGAGAAAGTCAAGAGTGCAGAAAGAGTACTTTGAAACATTTAATCATTCATTAAGTTAAACTGAGTTGAATGAAATTATCCTACCAAATAAGCATTAAGAGTATAAGGTAAATATTATTAGATAAAATTCATTACAGACTACACTGTGATAACACAGTCTGATATCGTGAACTACCAATAAAAATTTTCAAACTCAAGCTAGAAATATTTAGCATCACAATTCCTGATTTTTCATCGATCGCCTTAAATTTTCTGGATTTAATATGAACTTCAGTAGTATAGGGGACTTTTAGATGTTAGGTCTTTCCGTAACCATGGCCGTCTGAAAGTTTAACTTTAGAAAACAGGTGGTGAAATTTTGTTTTCCATATTCTCACTTTTGTATAATAATATTTGATAAACGGAATACACCCATTAAGACATTAATTAAGAAAGATTAGTCCAGCGAAGAGTTCTCTTTTCGGCGAACTCATTTTCAAAGCTGTACAATCGCAAATATATGTATTTATTTTAACAGAATAATAATAATACTGATAATAAACTTTTGTTAGACATGTTGACAGTGAAGTTAAATAAACAAAGTTATTAAAAGATTCTTTTAAAAACAAGGAAAGTTTGATAATCGTTTGATTGTTAATGGTTTAAGTATTCATCAAAGGACAAGTATATATATTTGCGATTGTACAGCTTTGAAGATGAATTCGCCGAAAAGAGAACTCTTTCTGTTAAGATATGATTATTTGCTTCAGCTTTCGATTCAGTTGGGGTCGAAGATCAAATTTCTTTACTAAAATCACATGTAAATTACTTTCATGTTATCAATAATTCAATTTATTCTGTGAACACTTTGGTGTAACAATAATAAAGTTAGAAATAATGGTCATTCTTACCTTTCTCTTTCTTTCAATTGCCCTAATGATTGACCATTATCTGTTTCATCAGTTCTATCCTGTTTATTTTTTCCATCTAACCGATAACCTGTACCGCTAAATGCCTAGAATAAATGAGAATTCATGAGCTGTTTAAACAAATAAAACTGGTAACATACAAATATTTCTATGAATTAGTCTATTTAGCTACAAATACAACTCATGTGGATTAGGAAACCTGAATACTGATGATTCGCTTAGTCGGAAGAAAATGGGTGGCATCCATGATATGACTAAAGTTTATGTTACTTATTTTTTAGGCTGACAGGACCATTGAGGATTTTATATAAAAAGAAAACAAATTAACAGAAGTCGACGAATTAGTTTTAAAATAGACGATAAGTCATAGGACCTAATGACGATTCGACCCGTGAAACCTGAGACATGGATCCACAACTCGAATATGCTAAATAAACACTTTGTTCTACACTGCTGCTACTACTATTACCATAAAATCCTGAAGATAGACAGGGAATTATAACTGAAATAGGAAGGAAATCAATACTTTTGGATGACAGATAACATTATGGTTAAATATTACGAAAAAAGTATGATCACAAAGAGAAAACAAAAACGAATACTCAATATTTAGTTCCCACTTATTAACACGAATTTTTAATGTACGCAAGGAGTTCATTTTCTCTTCACGATAGTAAGTAATTGACGACGTATTGTCGGAGAAGAAACGTTGTTTGGCAGTCGGGAATACAATATCAATACATTGACTTCTATTGTTAACTCAGAATATGATGAGGTAGTTTGTTTCATTCTATCAGACTAGTTTGCAAATGATGACAAGTGATATTACAATAAAGGTATCTGCCAATCGATGAGAATGAAGTGTTTTTTGCACACAGTAGGGCCGATGAGTCAGCAAGGTAGGGAATCCGTACTGACCTAGGATACAGATCTATTACGCATTTCTACTTACAGGCTATCAACAAATGTGATGCTAACTAAGATATCAGGTTGAGAAATATTTCTGGGTAGTCAGGCGAAGAGCTAATAAGTTATGAAGTCGATAACTGTAATATAAGACGATGACACTTAAGACCCTTTAGTATGGTTTTCGATATATGATTCCATGGATGTAAATACAAGATAGATTAGCATGGATCACTACTAGGTAAGCTTAGCTATTTGTCATTTATCCTTCTCATTTGATGACTCCGAGCTATACCGATTTACTAATATGAGATATTTGATGTTCCTCAGTTAACAAGTCAGTATTTTTCAACAAATCAAAACACGTAAACACCTACTCGATCTTCAAAATAGAAATACCAAGGATCTTGAAGTTTACTTAGAGTCCCTTAGCCATTGAAATAAGTATTTAAGTATTTATTGCCATAATATTTAAACAAGAGAGAAGTTACATGAACCAGTTACCTGGAATCCTTGAACAACTGAAGGGATTTCTATGTGATCTTCGATCTGAAACAAAAAGTCAGCGTAGACAAATGACAGAACGAGAAAAGATATTGTCAACAAATATTTTTGACAATTTTTAAACTGTCACAAAAATGGAAGTGGTGACAAAACGACGATGATATTTGTGCATCTAAATTATGTACAGTCATTAAGGTAATTGATATAGACAAAAAAGCAATGCTATTTCAACTCTTATGATATGATAACTCCTACCTTTAAAGATAAGGATAGTGGCATCAGATACTTTTATTTATTAATTTTTACCACATGTGCGTAGGTTTACGTGGGTTCAAAACAAAAGCGTCACCACCAAACCAGCTGAGATGACACAATACCCTAAAGATTCTTCCTTTTGACAAATGAGTCTGCTATAATCTCGAACTTCACAAAACTAATTGGATCTTACCAACAGACTCGTACCATATGGGTTGGCAGCCAAAAGAAACTTTGAACAGCTGTCAGTAAGTTATGTTTCAAATAAAAAAATTTGAACAATTAAAAGATATACCTTATGTAGATCTTTATCACTTTGTTTGCTCGAAGAACCAGAATCAGTAGGCTGATATCCAACTGGAGGTGCGAAATCAACCTAAAAAGACAAATATATGAATAGGAAAATTACGCTCATGTCACATTCAATTATAGTGACTGCATCCTTCGGTTTCGTTTCCAACACTTTAAGCTCATATATACGCTCGTTGTAGTTGATAGCAATGATATCTCCGACTGTGAGGCAAGCAAAGTCTCGAAGAGCATTTTCCAGTCTAAATGTAACTATAAGTTGGGAATAAAATTACACAGCTTTAGGGTTAGATATGTCCAGAAAATCAGTACTCTGAGGCTGGAAACGAGCGAAAGAAGCCACAGGTAAGGCTGCATTAACTACAGAGACCAGGCCACCCTCTTCCAAATGTAGATTTTTTAGCATCTAAAATAGAACTGATATATTTGATGTCTACCCAATAAGGAACATAAATCCTCCCTTCATCCGCAACAAATTCCAGTACACCACAATGAGTAGTTCGGTTTGCTTGTTGGTTAGTTAGCTTGAACAGCATTGGGTACTGGACGTTCAGTCGTGCTTAAAGTTTTATACGTTCATAAACCTGAAACTTACTAAGTACATCTAAAGCAGATGGAGGCATGATAACTAAAACACTTACACAGTATATGAAGTCTTACTTTTCCCTCCTTTTTCCACGCTAGAACGAAAATTATCGGCTAAAAAGGAAACTGGATAGCATCTGTACGAGGTGGTGAACGGTGAAGAATTATCAATTCGATGAAACTAAGAAAAAGAATCAATTAATCCCAACCACTTACGAACACCATCTAAAAGTAGCGTTACAGAAATATAGAGCGCTTAATGTTATGATTGATCAACTAATTGTTTTGAAAAAGGTTTCAGTTCGTGAAGAACGGGAGGCAATGACCGTCTCTCAGATGATAAAACTTTCTTTTTAAAGAGTCGACAGATGGAGCTTGAACCACGTGCTGAGGTAATGAATTCCACTCATCGATGATTCGATGGGAAAGTCGATATGTGACAAGTAACTCGTTATGTACTTGTGAAATCTTTCGCTGTGTCCTCGTAAATTCTCTGTTTTGGAAGACAAGAAAAATGGGAGCATATCAGGTGCAAATTTATCAATAGGAAATTTGAAAACTGTAATCAGTTGCCTCTAGTTCTCCGACATGACAACGCGGACAGATTTAGTTTGGCCAGTCGATCATCATACGGGAGCTATGCTATTCCGGGAATCAGCTTAGCTGATGTTCTCTGAATCTTTTCCAAAATCATTTTGTCTTTTTTTAAGCAGGGGCTAGCCGCTTGTATGCAGTGCTCAATTTTATGACGTACGAACACTGCGCACAAAGTCAAAAATGTTTTAGCGTCGTCATGACTAAAGACCATAAAATTCTTAAACCTTTGACGACTATTGCACGACAGTGTTCAGTAGTCTTTAAGTCTTGGCTAACGATGACTCCTAAGTTATTGTGTATTTGGATAACCGGTAGCTCAGTGTTATTCATCTTGTATGTATCTGTACCTCGATTACCGATATGCATCCCAAAACACTTGGAAGTATTAATCGGGAACCGTCAGGTTTGAGACCATCCAGATAATTTCTCCAGGTCATTCTGGAGTTTCAAGCCATCACCCTTACTTCTCCATATCTTGACACCGTCAGCATATAGCAAAACCGATGATGATATTAGGCGAGGAAGATCATTTACAAACAAGAGGAATAACACTGGCCCCAAAACTGTGCCCTGGGTACACCAGCTTTCACGAGCCATTGATAAGTTAGTGAGACAAGAATAACCTATTCTAAGACCATGCTGCTTTTTCGAAAGAATCCGTTTTTCATCGAGATACATAAACAGCTCCTCCCGAATAATCTTTTGTAAGATTTTAACAACCACACTAGTTAAGCTAACAGGTCGGTAATTCTCAGGTTTATGTTTCGTACCTGTTTTGAAGACAGGACTTACTATGGCGTTTTTCCAATCTTTTGGTAAACGACCCTGCTTTACAGATAGATTAAAGCATATACTTAAAGGTTTCGCAACGAAGTTAGATAATCCATTCAGTAGCCTAGGATGTAATTCATCGGGCCCCGCGGATTTATCTATGTCAAGCTTATTTAGCAGACCAAAGACATCGAGTTCCTTAATGGTCACGCTATCCAGTGTCTGTGCAAAGGGGTTTGTATGGAGTGACGGGAAGAGTGTTTCTATGGTATATACATGGCTAGAGAATTTTGGGAATACTTAAGCTTTGTCAAAGTCGTCCTCCACTAATGATGAGGCAGTACTGTCTCCCCATAGTGCAGGCAAAATTTCCCCTTCTTTTTGTCCTTTAGTTTATATACGAATACAAACTTTTAGGATATTCTATGGGTTTCTCGACAATTTTCTCTTCGTATAATCTTCTAGACTTACGGAGGGTTGAGGCACAGGTATTCCGAGCTTTTCGATACTGAGATTTTGTCTCATCAATCCCCAGTAACCTAAATCTATCCCACATTTTTCTTCTCCTACGGAGAAGGATGAAAACTTCCCTTCTGAACCATGTTGGAGAACTTCTCGGCCCCTATGATGTAGTTCAAAGGATGTGGGGTGAGGTAACTTTTGAGTATAAATTCCGAAATGCGTCCCGAGCCGTTTTGATTGAGGACTGTGGCTCTATTGTCCAATCTACTGATGATGCTGAGTGCATGATGTCTTGTATGTTTGCTATCCAGACGTTAGGTCCGGATTGAGCTGACGCATCATCGTGCTTGACAATTATATGGAAGTCAAAATTTAGAACTACATGATCACTTTTACCTAGGAGTGGCATGTAATCGAGGTTTGTAACGCCATCCTTATAATGGATCGATATAAGATCTAGTAAAAATGATTAAGAGTTCGGGTAGTTTCTAGTTGCTTCTTTCACATGTTGCATTAGAGCATACGTAATAACCGCATCAACCAGTTCCTGCCCGAAGGAATTATCTGACAATTCAGTTCTCAGATTTTCCCAGTATACCATGGGTGCATTAAAGTCTCCTAGGACTAGACATCGACCACTTTGTGACCAAGTATTGAGGCTGCTTAGCAAGACCTCATTTACCTCACAGCATGGACTGTGACAGACCAAACCAATCAGTAGATCTTGTCCCTTGCATTTCAAGCGGAAACGAAGTAACTCACACGTACCACTCTCATGAGATACACTGTCGATAATGGTGAATGGAATAGCATTCTTAATGAATAAAGCAACTCCCCCTCCCTTGAACTTTTGTATTCTGTAGGTTCCTACTAACATAAAACCCTCAAAATCAAATTCCATACTATCTATAGACTGCACCAGCCAAGTTTCTGAGAATGCGATTACATCTGGCTTTTTAGAGTCAATATGTACACCTAGTTCCAACCGCTTATTGAGCAACCTTCGTGGATTAGTGTAACAGATCCGAAGCCTATTTAGATGGCTTCATGTTTCACACAGAGTGCCTCCGGCATCATTCTCTGTTGAAGCCTCAAAACCCGAAAATTTACAATTTTTAGATCCTTTTCGTCAGCGTCTAGCCTAAGCTGTAGTTGTTTTTCGGCTTACCATCTTTTTGCACGGTCTGCCAGAGGTAAGTCTTTGCAGACAAAAACTCCTGAACATTTTAACTCATGTCCACTCTCTAAAATAGCGTCCTATTCATCAGGAGATTTGAATGCCACTTTCAGCAACCTGGCTTGATTTGGTTTTAAGTTCGTTTGACTACTTAGTCTATACACCTTTAGCAAGGTGACTCCAGAGATATTTTGAGGCATAAGTTGGTTTAGTAGCTGTTTTATCAACCCTATGTCATGCTCAAAACGAGTTTTCGGTTCAGAGCATTCACTCTCCTTGTTTCTATGAAAAATAACTGACCTGTCACTGTGATCAGTCTTCAGTTTCTTGACTACTTTTGTAAGGGGGTAGGATTTACGTTCATACCGTTATGTCGTTCCTTGCTTACGACCTATACCCATTCGTCAACTTTCGCAACCACAGTTGCGTAGGAATCTCTAGGAATCCGGAGGGTTGTCGACGACTTGGAAAGCCAGGTTGTGCTTCCTACTAGAAACAGATAGAGCCTTGAGATTGCGATTCCTAGGCGTTTCTTGCTGGATACCGCTTAGAAGACGGAGAACAGAGGAAACTTCCTTTCTTGAGTTTTAGCTAAGACAGACTTCTTTGAAAACGGTCTTTCCTTCTTTGATGGATGTGAGTCAGCTGTTTCCGAGCTTACTTGAGGTGGCTTTACATCAATTTGCGTGTCGACAGAGAGGGTGCTGTCCGGTGTGGCACGACTGCGCTTGCTAAAACGCGTTTACGCAGCATTTACCATTGAGATGGCCTCAGTTAGCAAGCTGTTTTCGTCCGAACAGCACTGCTGACAAAGCCATACTCAACCGTTTTTACTGAACCATTCAAAATCCGCAGGCGTCAACTTCGTGGCACCAGCCTTTGCACCCATCACACTACATGCCTCATCCAACGGGATATTGGCAACCCGAACGTTGGCAATTGCTTTTCTTGCACCGTCCTGTCATCGAACAGAGGTTTTTGAAAGTAAATTAGACAATAGTACCCAGAGACAAAATGATCTATGACCAGAAAAGTGGAAAAGTGTAAATTGTTAGAACCAAAAGTACTAAGAAATACAATAGAAAACAAAGTGCTTTCGGTAAAATACTTTAGAAATAAAAATGATACTCTAATACGATACTCTAACTGAAATAAATTCAATTAAAGTGTAAACACTAGTCGTGATACGTAATAGACGATCAAAACAACAGAATTTACTCAGCGTGAAAAATACCATCGTCCTTTAAAATAGCGCGCGCGCTGGGTTGGTAAGGGTAACGAAGTCCTGTGTTAGCCCTTTACTAGTAAATATGTGCATCAAAGTCTTTTCTTGAACGCGTTATTTAAAGGCAGGACACTACTACTTTCGATGGAAGATTCAAAAAATGGATTACTCAGTCAGAAAATCAGTATACTTACTTATGTACGCCTGTTACTGCTCGCGCAGCAGAGGGCACCGACCAGAATTTAGTTACAAACTCTGTCCTGGGCAATTCTTTCCAGCTGTTTCCAATTGCTACCCATTCTGTAGGTTTCTTCGGTGGATTCCTGATATGATATGTTCCTTGATCTTCAACTTTTCCTTTTCCGTCCAGGGTTCCGAGTTAGTGCTTGCCTCAACAGCTGCTACACTGGTCGTTTTCTCCTGCATTTGTTGTTGCGTTTGCGATAGGAGGGCCAGATCATCTGCGAAGTCTAGATCGTAGAACTACATCCTAGATGTCCACTGTATCCCGTGCTTTTCTTCAGATGTTGATGTCTTCATGATCCAGTCGATCACCAAGAGAAAGAGAAAGCGTGAGAGTAAGCAACCTTGCCTAACACCGGTCTTCACTTCGAACGAGTTTGTCAACTGTCCTCCATGCACAATTTTTCAGTTTAATCCATCATAGGAATTCTGTATGATATTGACTATCTTCTGAGGCATGCCGTGCTATCAAATGCTTTTTCATAGTCAATGAAGTTGATTTAGATTGATGAGTTCCATTCTATTGATTGTTTCACAATGATCCTTATTGTTGCGATTTGGTCTGTACACGATCGATCTTACGGAATCCAGCCTGTTAGTCTCGACGTTGATCATCTATGAAGTAATTCATCCTGTCTAACAATACTCTGTTGAAGACTTTTCCTGGTATTGAGAGAAGAGTGATACCCCTTTAGTTATCACGTAATCACGTGTTCTTCTTTCCAGTCTGGTAGGCCAACATCGATTGGGAGGTCCGTGGGTGTTACTTCGATGTTGGGTGGGTTCCATG